CTGTACTCGGTCCTATCTTGTTTCTGATATATGTAAATGATCTCCCGGAGGGTATCGATTCATTTCTCTCAATGTTTGCGGACGATGCTAAAATTATGAGAAGGATTAAAACAGAAGAGGACTGTTTGAGGCTTCAAGAAGACCTAGACAAGCTGAAGGAATGGTCGAACAAATGGTTGTTAGAGTTTAACCCAACCAAATGTAATGTAATGAAGATAGGTGTAGGGAGCAGGAGGCCAGATACAAGGTATCATCTGGGAGAGGAAATTCTTCAGGAGTCAGAGAAGGAAAAAGACTTGGGGGTTGATATCACGCCAGACCTGTCTCCTGCAGCACATATCAAGCGGATAACATCAGCGGCATATGCCAGGCTGGCCAACATACGAACGGCATTCAGAAACTTGTGTAAAGAATCATTCAGAACTTTGTATACCACATATGTCAGGCCAATCCTGGAGTATGCAGCCCCAGCATGGAGTCCATATCTAGTCAAGGATAAGACTAAACTGGAAAAGGTTCAAAGGTTTGCCACCAGACTAGTACCCGAGCTGAGAGGTATGAGCTACGAGGAGAGACTACGGGAATTAAACCTCACTTCACTGGAAGACAGAAGAGTTAGGGGGGACATGATCACCACATTCAAGATTCTGAAGGGGATTGATAGGGTAGATAAAGACAGTCTATTTAACACAAGGGGAACACGCACAAGGGGACACAGGTGGAAACTGAGTGCCCAAATGAGCCACAGAGATATTAGAAAGAACTTTTTTAGTGTCAGAGTGGTTGACAAATGGAATGCATTAGGAAGTGATGTGGTGGAGGCTGACTCCATACACAGTTTCAAGTGTAGATATGACAGAGCCCGATAGGCTCATGAATCTGTACACCTGTTGATTGACGGTTGAGAGGCGGGACCAAAGAGCCAGAGCTCAACCCCCGCAAACACAACTAGGTGAGTACAACTAGGTGAGTACACACACACACACACACACGGAAGAACCAACGTGAGGGGAAGAAAGTGCTTCCAAGAGAGTGAATCATGGGGAAAAAAGCGCTCAGCCACTAGTCAAGTGACGGATTAAATGTACAATTTTTCCTTTAGATAATATTGAGTGTAAAATATATTGAGTGAATTATTTAGACATAGGCAGAAAACCTATGAAAACATGGGTAGAGGAGGAGTAAACGTAGGTGTGGAGGAGAGGGGGATAGGGACCAGGAGAAGGATAGGGAGAGAGCAGTTGATAACCCATAACGAAGGTAGTCTCAGTCGTCTAAGGCTCTCTCTACAATATCGAGGTCCGAAAGTATATATCCCATCCAACCAATCCTATATATACTCACCACCCAACCAATCCTATATATCCACCACCCAAACAATCCTATATATCCACCACCCAACCAATCCTATATATCCCACTGGGATATTGATCCCAGGAATTTTTCACCGACATTAAATTTGAGCGAGGATGTGTGTACTCACATATTTGTACTAGCCTATTTGTGCCTGCAGGATCGAGCTTTAGCTGTTGGACCCCGCTTTTCTGGCCGTTGGATGTCTAATGCAATGCCTCCTGGTCTATTTCCCTATCATACCTGCTTTTAAAGTTATGAATGGAGTTAGCCTCTACAACCTGTTCCTTTGGGTCATTCCATTTACTCACTTCCCGCACGCTAAAATAAAACTTTCTAACATCTCTATGACACATCTGAGTCAAGCTTCCCTCCGTGCTCCCTTGTTCTGTTGATATTCACAGTAAACAATTCCTCTGTTTCCACCCTGTCAATCCTTCTTAAGTATTTTATTCGTCTGTATCATGTCTACCCTCTCCCTCCTCCTCTCTGACGTCATCAAGTTTAGTTCCTTCAGTCTTTTCGTACTTCATCCCTCGCAACTCTGGGACCAGTCTCGTTGCAAACTTCTGCACTTTTTAGAGTTTTTTATGTGTATTTTTTTAGATGGAGAATCCAGGATGGGGCGGGATACGCTAAGACTGGCCTCACATAGGCGGTATATAGTGATCTAGAAGCCTAATTATTCAGGTTTCTGAAGGATGTTCTGACTTGCCAGAGTAGAGTATGCGGCTGACGTTATTCTATTTATATTAGGCTCTGGAGTTAGGTTTGGTGTTATGCACACTCACAGATTCTTTTCTCTAGTCGTTATAGAGAGCTATACGTTACAAAGAGTTAGAGAGAGTCATTACATATCGGCCTTTCGGTCTCCTGGTTTCTGATTCCATTTCCATCACCTTACACTTGCTGGTGTTGAACTTCAGCAGCCATATTCTCGCAACAGCTCTGCAACCTGTTGAAGTTATCCTGGAGAATTTTACAATCTTCATCTGTCTCAATCCTCGTTAGTTTTGCATTATCTGCAAACATTGACATATAAGACTCAACTCCTGCAGTCAAGTCATTTACATAAATGAGGAATAGTATGGGTCCCGGGACCGATCCCTTGAGGCACCCCGCGTGTTACTCTACGCCAGTCGGACTCCTCGCCCCTCACTGTCACTCTCTTACCCCTGTCTGTTAGGTAATTCTTTACCCATGATAGTGCGTTTCCGTCTACTCCCGCCTGCCTCTCAAGTTTGTATAGTAGCCTTCTGTGTGGTACTGTATGAAAGGCTTTTTGGCAGTCCAGAAATATGCCATCTGCCCAGCCTTCTCTGTCTTGCATTATTTTCGTTACCTAATCATAAAACTCCAGGAGGTTCGTCAGGCAGGATTTCCCTTCTCTAAAGCCGTGTTGTTGTTTAATTACAAACCCAATTCTCTGTGTGCAACTAGTCTTAACCTTATAATTCTTTCAAGTACTTTGCAAGTGATGCGTGTGAGTGACACTGGTCTGTAGTTAAGTGATTCTTCTCTATCTCCTTTATTTTAGATTGGCACCACATTAGCCTTTTTCCAGCAGCCGGACAATACCTCCCCCCCCCTGTAAGGGGCTCATTAAAGATTAGCACCAGAGGTATGCTGAAGGTCTGTGCTGCTTCTTTTAACATCCATGGTGATACTATCAGGCCCAGTAGCGTTAACTACAGCTAGCTGTAGTTAACGCTCTTACTTCTAGCTGTAGTTCTTACTTCCTCCGCTGTTACCTTAATATTTAGAAGTTTCTCAGCAGGGGCTGCGTCCTCGTGTAGCTCTGGCAGCTGTTCAGGCTCAGTAGTGAACACTCCCTGGAAGCTGGCGTTGAGCTCCTCACAAATTTCTTTATCATTTTCTGTATACTGGCCTCCCCTATAGCTATCTTCTTGAGGTTATCTTGAGATGATTTCGGGGCTTAGAGTCCCCGCGGCCCGGTCCTCGATCAGGCTTCCTTTTTGTTACACACCCCCAGGAAGCAGCCTGTAGCAGCAGTCTAACTCCCAGGTACCTATTTACTGCTAGGTGAACAGGCGCATCAGGATGAAAGAAACATTTTGCCCATTTGCTTCCGCCTCCAATGGAGATCGAACCCGAAACCTCAGGACTACGAATCCGAAGCGCTGTCCACTCAACTCGTGTAGAAGTTTCGGCTGGCTCTCCTTCGGAGTTAATATAATTGTCATACTTTCTTTCTGCCAATCTTATGCTTATGTAGTCATTCTTGGCCCCTTTTTTTATTGTTGCAGCCGGAGGCGGTTAATTTATTGTGCACCCCATACTCATCCTGTAAGCGGTAGCGCAAAAAAGGATTACAGAGGGCACAAAAGGTCTTTATGTAATAATCTCCGCTATTGCAGAGATAAGCCACTGTTGATGCTCTCTGCAATGCCTCTATGCATGCTTTGTTGTTGTCATCATATTCCTGCCTGAGTCTTCTGTTTGGTGGGGGGATGTAAATTATCAGCACCACAATTAGGTTTCCATCTCCTATTAGTATCCCAATAATGGAGACTGAGTATGCATTTTCACTCTGATTTTCGAATTCTTAGAACTTCCACTCCTGTTCTACTAGGAGTGCAACTCCTCCTCCTCCTCCTTGCCTTTGTTGTCTTTCTTCCCTTATCACTTGGAGTCCCCCTGGGAATATTGCATCAGAGATCATATCGTTTATTTCCGTTTCCACTGTTGCAATCAAATCAGAATCATATTCACTAATTCTCTTTTATTTCCTCTTTGTTCGTAACTCCGTCGGCGTTCATGTACCAAACTTTCAGGCTCTTCTTGGACACCCTATTCCCAGAGATCTGTGTCAGGGGTGAGTGGGGGTCAGAGTGGGTGAGTGGGGTTCAGGGAGTGGATATGGGTGGGTGGGTGGGTGGGTGGGTGTGTGTGTGTGTGTGTGTGTGTGTGTGTGTGTGTGTGTGTGTGTGTGTGTGTGTGTGTGTGTGTGTGTGTGTGGTGTGTGTGTGTGTGTGTGTGTGTGTGTGTGTGGTGTGTGTGTGTGTGTGTGTGTGTGTGTGTGTGTGTGTGTGTGTGTGTGTGTGTGTGTGTGTGTGTGTGTGTGTGTGTGTGGTGTGTGTGTGTGTGTGTGTGTGTGTGTGTGTGTGTGTGTGTGTGTGGTGTGTGTGTGTGTGTGTGTGTGTGTGTGTGTGTGTGTGTGTGTGTGGTGGTGTGTGTGTGTGGTGTGTGTGTGTGTGTGTGTGTGTGTGTGTGTGTGTGTGTGTGTGTGTGTGTGTGTGTGTGTGTGTGTGTGTGTGTGTGTAAAACGTTTTCTAAAGTTAACTTTACAACCCATTTCGACCAACTTGTTAAGTTGGGTGACATCAGTGTGACCCACCCGGTACCCGGCATCAGTAAAGCTTCTTTTGTTTTGGGTGGAAAAACAAAGAAAATTTGCCACACCTGGCAATGTATCACCGCCAAACTCGCATGTTTACGCCCATAAAGGGCATGTGTACATATATGAATGACACGTGTATACAGTAAATATGCTCCAGTGATTTAACCAATGGTTTGGTAACATTTGCCAGTCATTGTCAGTCATTGGCTAGGGTGACCTGGCTAGGGCTTCGTGTGCCCTCCACAAGAGGGTCAACTATAGAGGCGAAGGTCTGGGCACGCCGGAACAAAGGTACTCGAGTACTCACCAGTATAGATAGGGCTTCTCCCTCTCGATGTTGACGGAGTTGATTGGGTCGAGACGGAACCAGGTGGTGAAGGTCCAGCCGGCCTCGTACGGCCAGCGGGCCAGAGGGGGCAGCACCAGCGCCTGGAAAGCAGAAAACACACAGATGTTAGGATGAGTTGTGGTGTGTAGTACGACTCTTGGTTTCATTTACCTTATATTTTTACCTGGAGTTTATATGCAGTTTGTGTGGCGTTTTGTTTCATAAACAAACCATAAACCAAACAAACAAACCAAACAAACCAACAATAACAGTCATCTGTTTTTCCTCAATGCAGAATAGTAAGGTCATTAGACGAGTGTTAAAAACAGTTTCCATTGGCTATAATTGGATGTAAAAGTACTGACAAAGGATGCATAATTCACTAACAGACCCCCGTCACTAAATAATACTACCATGGCACTAACGACTCTGCCACGATCGCATTTTAGGTAGGATTTTGTTTTAAATTTTTAGACCTTGTAAGTAGCTTCTTGTTACCCCCCCCCCCCCTGGAGTCACGAACCAAAGAAAGGCTGGCGGTCAACCCCTCGCGGTCAACCAGGCGCCCACACCTCCAAATGATCCGTCAACAGGTTCTGGGGTACAACCAAAGCCGTAAGTCTTATACCAACCAGCTTACTGGGGGAAAATCAGCAGTAACATTAGCTATTTACACATTTACAGTTACATGAAACTGTAATCACTGGCACTATAAACTCCACCTAGATGCTACTAAGTTAACCTGGTCTAGCTTAAATTACATTAAACTTAGTAACATAGGTACACTAGACTGGAGTTAAAATGCGGCTAAGTTGAAATGATTAACTTGCAATCTAGATGAACTTTATTAAAACTTTTAAAAGTCACTTGGGCTATCAGTATCAAAGTCAACAAACTCAAGTTAAGGGCCTTGTAACTCACTCAAAACTCAAGTCCCGAAGGACAGACAAATTTCAAGTCGGTAAACGCTGGAAAAAGTTAGTCGCAAATGGACTGGCGAAAGTCGGTCCCCCTATGACTGACAGACACTCACTTAAACCCACAAGATCAAAACATGAGATACACTTTATTATTAATAATAATAATAATACCGAACATTAATATCTGTACATTCTTACGTTAAGTGATACGAAAATCAATAAGTATTGTTCCTTGGAGGTCAAACCTTGGCCCCGTCCAGCCTCTACAGCCAGAGCAGTAAAAGAGAAGCCCCCCAGGCCAGCCCAAAGGTAACATTACATCATAACCAACTGTGTACACCACTAACACCTGCGTCCCTCTCCGGATATACTGTATAATACACTAATTATACTCTTTACCTGCACTAATCGCACTTGAACATTGACAGATGTTCACTTTCATAACAAAGTATAATAGTTTAATCAATACAACACCTTCAATAGTCATCCACAGGGATGGCGACCTTGAGATATGTCCGGCAAGGCCACGCCAGCTGGCCTGGCCACGCCAGCTGGCCACCGCACGCCAACACAAACAGTTAAATAGTTGGTCTTCGCGTCAAATCATATCAACAAAACTTGCATTATTATTGGGGGATCTGACCTTCACACGGACACATCGTATATACATTTATATCGTAGTGTTATTTAACATGTACTTTGCAGTTGATAAATGTCAGTAAATGTTTCAATGTTTCATTCATGAAACATTCATATTAACCCCCCATGCCCATAATTATAAAATTTATTTATAAATTTAGAAATCGGTATATATATAAGTATGGTGAACCTGGTGTACCTGGAAGTGCACCTGGGGGGTGTACCTGGGAGTGTACCTGGGAATGCACCTGGAAGTGTACCTGGGGGTGTACCTGGGGGGTGTACCTGGGAGTGTACCTGGGAATGCACCTGGAAGTGTACCTGGGGGTGTACCTGGGAGTGTACCTGGAAGTGTACCTGGAGGTGTACCTGGGGGTGTACCTGGAAGTGTACCTGGGGGTGTACCTGGGAGTGTACCTGGAAGTGTACCTGGAAGTGTACCTGGAAGTGTACCTGGGGGTGTACCTGGGAGTGTACCTGGAAGTGTACCTGGAGGTGTACCTGGGGGTGTACCTGGGAGTGTACCTGGAAGTGTACCTGGAGGTGTACCTGGGGGTGTACCTGGAAGTGTACCTGGGGGTGTACCTGGGGGTGTACCTGGGAGTGTACCTGGAAGTGTACCTGGAAGTATACCTGGAAGTATACCTGGGAGTGTACCTGGAAGTGTACCTGGAAGTGTACCTGGAGGTGTACCTGGAGGTGTACCTGGGGGTGTACTTGGGGGTGTACCTGGGAGTGTACCTGGAAGTGTACCTGGAAGTGTACCTGGAGGTGTACCTGGAGGTGTACCTGGAAGTGTACCTGGAGGTGTACCTGGAGGTGTACCTGGGGGTGTACTTGGGGGTGTACCTGGGAGTGTACCTGGAAGTGTACCTGGAAGTGTACCTGGAGGTGTACCTGGAGGTGTACCTGGGAGTGTACCTGGAGGTGTACCTGGAAGTATACCTGGAAGTATACCTGGGAGTGTACCTGGAAGTATACCTGGGAGTGTACCTGGAAGTATACCTGGGAGTGTACCTGGGAGTGTACTTGGAAGTGTGGGCCTGCGGGTCGCTTGGTGCGGCCCGCACCAAGTATTAAGAATGTGTTTAATTTAGGATTAAAGGCCTCCCAGAAACGCTAAGCGTGCTAGTGGCTTTACAAGAATGTAAGAACTCTTGTACATATAAATATAATATAATTATATATATGGTATAGCTCTGGCTCTGGGCATGGCTCTGGGTTTAAGTCATGCCCAGGAAGGATTTTATAGGCGCAAGTCTTTTAAGACTTCGCCTCTTTTCAGCAGGAACTAGGTACCTGCTTGTTAACCCGTAGATGGGTCATATTCCAGGGAAAACTAGTAGAACAAGACTTATCACGAGCTATGGGAAGGGAAAGATATTCTTAGCCTGCTAACAGGAGTCAGAAGGCTGTTTGTGTACCCACCTGTGTATAGAACAAAAGAAGATGCTCATTTTAATACGAGTCGTCTTTACTTCTTGACTCAAAGCGTTAGGATGAGACGGTCCCTTGATCACACAGCTTGTAGTTCATGCAGCCCGCAGGCTTGGGTAACCATGTTTATTTGCAACATGTTGCACGTCCTTTGGCACACCTCCTGCAAGTCTGGGGTCAGATTCACGAAAGCACTTACGCAAGCACTTACGAACGTGTACATCTTTCCTCAATCTTTGACGGCTTTGGTTACATTTATTAAACAGTTTACAGACATGAAAACTTCCCATTCAACTGTTGTTATAGTTATAAACAGCCTCCTGGTGCTTCGGAGCTCATTAACTGTTTAATAATTGGAAACAAAGCCGCCAAAGATTGAGAAAAGATGTACAGGTTCGTAAGTGTTTGCATAAGTGCTTTCGTGAATCTGGCCCCTGGCACACGCTGACAACTTTATGTCCAGACGTGTTTACACTAATACTCGCATTTTTAACTACGTCAAGCAATAAAACTTTCCAACGTTCTTTATTATCATTATTATTATAATGAGGAAACTTTTCTTATTAAGACTACTAAATAGCTCGGTCGATTGAGCTTCAGCCTCACGTGGGGTCCAGGGTTCGAGTCTCCCAGAGCCCAGGTGAATGGATTATGTGAAGCAATGGTTACATTAAGTTTTCTTGTCCTTTAAAGAAAATGTCAGACAATACTAAGGCTATAAGTGAGAATGTTCTATATTATGTAGTCGCTCTCGGGAAGAGGTAGACGCTATAGTACTTTCCTGATGATAACGTCTCAGTCAGTCAGGTCAGGTCAGTCAGGTCAGTCCAAGTCAGTCCAAGTCCAGTCCAAGTCCAGTCCAGTCCAGTCCAGTCCAGTCCAGTCAAGTCCAGTCCAGTCCAGTCAAGTCCAGTCCAGTCCAGTCCAGTCCAGTCAGTCAGGTCAGGTCAGGTCAGGTCAGTCAGGTCAGTCAGGTCAGTCAGTCAGTCAGTCAGTCAGTCAGTCAGTCAGTCAGTCAGTCAGTCAGTCAGTCAGTCAGTCAGTCAGGTCAGTCAGTCAGGTCAGTCAGGTCAGTCAGTCAGGTCAGTCAGTCAGGTCAGTCAGTCAGGTCAGTCAGTCAGGTCAGTCAGTCAGGTCAGTCAGGTCAGTCAGTCAGTCAGGTCAGTCAGGTCAGTCAGGTCAGTCAGGTCAGTCAGTCAGGTCAGTCAGGTCAGTCAGTCACGTCAGTCAGTCAGTCAGTCGGTACCAATATTCTAACTCTCAGTTTACTTCTAAACCCAAATGAGTACCACTGGAAACTTATAGGCTACACTTATGATTGTATTAGCAGTAAGGCATATGAAATGTGTGGCCCAAACATACAAAATACATTCATAAAGTTAATGGTAAACTTGTGTGTATATAAGTATACATCATTGTGGCACCAGAACCTATACCTTGACGAGTCTTAAGGGGGGAGGGGGGCTGGTTTACCTAATCATCACACCTGTGCAGGATTTACCTGTACTCGAGAACGTTCAGGCGAATCATGCACACTTAATTTGTCTTCCGCCCCTAGGTAGTGGTGTTTCCTTACTCCTTATACCTCCATAGTGTAGGTAAAATGACTTTACACATTCCCTATTGCACTACACCTCCCCATACACTACACACAGTACCCAGTACACCTCCCCGTACACTACACACTGACCACAGTACACCTCCCCGTACACTACACACTGACCGCAGTACACCTCCCCGTACACTACACACAGTACCCAGTACACCTCCCCGTACACTAAACACTGACCACAGTACACCTCCCCGTACACTACACACTGACCACAGTACACCTCCCCGTACACTACACACTGACCACAGTACACCTCCCCATACACTACACACAGTACCCAGTACACCTCCCCGTACACTACACACTGACACACAGTACACCTCCCCGTACACTACACACTGACCACAGTACACCTCCCCGTACACTACACTGACCACAGTACACCTCCCCGTACACTACACACTGACCACAGTACACCTCCCCGTACACTACACACTGACCACAGTACACCTCCCCGTACACTACACACTGACCACAGTACACCTCCCCGTAC